CATAAAGTCTTTCAATAAATGTAACTACTGTTTGTTTTCCTGATAATTTAGATTCAATTGTACGATTCATTCTTTCTATGTAATTATTTGTAGTCATTGGATTTGAATTAGGTGCATCAAGAAGACGGCCTGCATCAATAAATTGTAATTACCATTCATTACATATCTAATTATTATTCAAATCATTAATAATCAAATGTTTTTGTTCTTGTGCTAATGGAAGAGAGTTAATAAAATTTTTATAAATGCTGGCCATTTCAAATGATGTTTCTTCAGTTCGACATCAGGCTATTAATTTAAAACCCAATGCAATTGGATATCTAAATTAAAAATTTAAAATTTTATTTTTAAAATTGTATAATATATTTAATAAATAAAATAAAATATTAAATTATTACCTAAATAATTGCAGAATATTCCATTTTTTTAAATTATTACCAAATATTTGCATAATATGAAACCAACAAAGAATAGTTCCACGTACTAATCTCTCTACTCCAAGTTTTGAAGGTCTATGTTTATCAATCATTATATATGGATTCCATATTTGATTGTTACAATCTCAGATTCTTTTAAATCCCTTATTATTTGAAAGATTTTCATAGTGCCATAGATGTTCACAATCAGAATTATTACATGGTATATTTTGTTTAACTGCATTTACTGCTAAACGTATTGACCAATTATTTTCTTTATTACTTAAACCTGTTATATATTAAATAAAATAAACAAATTAATATTAGTACAAAATATATTAAATAATTAATAAATTAATTTTGTTATTTCATTAAAAATATTAAAATAAATATATTAAAAATTATAATAAAATATTATATACCAAATGCTAATGGAATTCCATATCCTACATTGTTTTCTACAATCATAGTTAAAATAGGTGCACGATTAATATTAAGGTCATATTTTCCATCAATTCCAATACAAAATTGTTCAAAATCTCTACCATTTCGTAACCAAAATTCATCAGATACAGTTAATTGATAATAATGTTCTGCAGAATTTTCAAGTTGAGATAAATCTAGTTGTTGATAATATAAAATATATCTTTTAGGTTTTAAAACTTCTTCAATTAAATAATGAAGAATTGTCCATGAACCAGTATTCTCTTTTAATCTTCGATCATCACAAACAATAAATCTTTTTAATTTTTTATTGTCACAGATTTCTCTATTATTTAATAATGAATTATTTAATTCTTCTTCTGTTACGCCATTTAATGAAATTAATAATTTTCTTTTTATTTCTTTTGTTGTTTGATGACCTGCATGACGACTAATAGTAATCTTATCTCTAATTTGTCGTGTTAGATTGATTTGTGTAACTTTTCGATTTTCAGTATTTAATAGATTAGAAGAAAGATGACATCCTTCTATTTTTATACAAAGTGGATGACTTGTGTTAAGATTTGATAATCGTGAGAATGAATGTACACGAACAGAGCAACGATGCATATCATTTCCATTTCGTAAGTTATTAGCTAAATTATAATTTGAACAACTAGATATGCATTCACCAATTTCACCGCATAAATGTTGACAAGTATTTCCATCTCCAGTACAATACATAATCCAAGACCAACATAATTTATCCTTTTTAATACCAACTTGAATTTTTTTAATATATTCTTTCCCTTTAGTTGTAAGTTCTATAATGTCATCAATACAATTTGTTGATTTTTTTTTATCAATACACTCCCATTCTAGAAAATCTACAGTACCTTCAACGCGACAAAGCTTAATTATTTGTTCTTTAATTAATTGTGGAGTATTTAAATGACTTTGTGATTTTAATTGTGTATTTTTTAAAAGTAGGTGTTGTAAAATATACCACTCAGCAGCATGTCCAAAGGGAACTGAAACTGTATTATCATTATTATAAATTATTTGATTTTCAAATATAAACATTTTTATTAAAATTTACTTTGAACACGTAAAGAAATTTTGTGTCACGTAAAAATTAAAGAACTGATCTGCATCA